ACAGTCATAGTGGTAATAGTAGTGGTCGTAGTTTTCGTTGTGATGGTTGTATCCGACTCAAAAGTCTCAACGGTCGTTGTGGTGGTGGTTGTAGTGGCTGGGGCTGAGTTTGAGTCGGTGACCGTACTGGTCGCTGTTGTGGGGCCCGACGAGCCGGGTTGTAGCGTGTGCGACGAAGCAAACGATCTGCTCTTAGAAGCAGCAAACGCCTTCGGCGCAGCATCGGTACTGGTTGGGGAAGTAAAAGAAAGTGACGATTCCGGATTAGTGGCGCTTACGGGCTCTAAAGGAGCAGTGGTGGTAGTGTTTTTTATTGCGCTAATTGAAGAAGCAGAATTGACTGGAGTCGATGGCAACAAGGTACGCTTTGGTGAACCAAAAGAATGCTTTTGTGCAGGAAATGTGCTGCTTGCTGAAGTATTTTTGCTAGAGCCAGGGGCAGGTTTGGTTCCAAATCCATGTTGGGCAGGCATCCTGGGTTTGGTAGTGCGAGCAGGAGACTCAATGCCAAATGAAAGCGCTGATGTCGCAGCCGCAACCGGCTTGGGGTCAGACCCACATGCCTGAGCCGCCGTGGGTGTAGTGGCTGTCGCTTCACGCGTGGTAGACCTCACTAGAGTTGCCGTGTCATTGAGCTTGGTGGTCGACGTTGTGGTGGCTGCTGCTGATGATGATACGAAGGATCCGAAGCCACCGAAACTAAAGGTTCCAGACCCATTGGGCTTTGCTGTTGACGTTGTGGTGGCTGCTGATGATGATGAAACGGGGGATCCGAAGGGTGCACAAGCTATTGTTCCAGATCCAGTGGGCTTGGTGGTCGACGTTGTGGTGGCTGCTGCTGATGATGACACGGGCGATCCGAAAGGTGAACTAGCTGTGGCCCCAGTCTCATTGGGCTTGGCCGTCGTCGTGGCCGTTGATGAGGCTGCTGCTGATGACAATACAGGGGATCCGAAGCCACGGAAACCCAAAGTTTCAGCGTCATTGAGCTTTGCTGTCGACGTTGTGGTGGTTGCTGCTGATGATGATACGAAGGATCCGAAGCCACCGAAACTAAAGGTTCCAGACCCATTGGGCTTTGCTGTTGACGTTGTGGTGGCTGCTGATGATGATGATACGGGGGATCCGAAGGGTGCACAAGCTGTGGCCCCAGTCTCATTGGGCTTGGTGGTCGACGTTGTGGTGGCTGCTGCTGATGATGACACGGGCGATCCGAAAGGTGAACTAGCTGTGGCCCCAGTCTCATTGGGCTTGGCCGTCGTCGTGGCCGTTGATGAGGCTGCTGCTGATGATAATACAGGGGATCCGAAGCCACGGAAACCCAAAGTTTCAGCGTCATTGAGCTTTGCTGTCGACGTTGTGGTGGCTGCTGCTGATGATGAGACCGGGGATTCGAAGCCACGGAAACTAAGGGTTCCAGTCTCATTGGTCTTGGTGATTGACGTTGTGGTGGTTGCTGCTGGTGAAGGCACGGGGGATCCGAAGGATGCACAAGCTATTGTTCCAGATCCAGTGGGCTTGGTGGTCGACGTTGTGGTGGCTGCTGCTGATGATGACACGGGCGATCCGAAAGGTGAACTAGCTGTGGCCCCAGTCTCATTGGGCTTGGCCGTCGTCGTGGCCGTTGATGAGGCTGCTGCTGATGACAATACAGGGGATCCGAAGCCACGGAAACCCAAAGTTTCAGCGTCATTGAGCTTTGCTGTCGACGTTGTGGTGGCTGCTGCTGATGATGAGACCGGGGA